AAATTTAAACCCGACAAGCAATTTTTGGGACCAAATCTCCAAACACAAAATAACCGATACCGTCCCTATGTATATTTCCCGTGATCCTCTTCCCTACCTCGTCCCAATCAAGGCTTTCCGCACCGCGCACCCTAATCCCCCTCCACACCTGCAACTCGATCCCATAGACATGCTCGCGATCACCAACTTTTTGCCCCAATTAGAACAATTGGGTATATAAGTCCAGATTTTCCTTTGTCCGCGGTTATTTTTTATATTTTTTTATGTATAAGACTTTTCTTTGTAACGAATACCTCAACTCTTTTTAATGTACACGAACAGAACATTGTAACTCATTTTTATTATTTATTATTAAATTAGTTGATCAAAATTCGGTCTTAAATTTTTTTTTCTCTCCTAAACTTGACCCCGCGCCGTTCCCGGCTCCCTGAGGATCACACTAGGTCCATCCCTGGTCAAAGAGATTCGGTTCTCTGACCTAAAACGGACCACCGATAGCGCGGGCGCAGGCAAGGGTAATAACGTCGCCGACGCTGACCCGATCCCTGCCCCCTTAACGCGCGTTCGACTCGCGGATCGGCATCACGACGTCGTTCCGCGAGAACAGGAGAGGTTCCGTGCGTCCACCTGAGTTCTCCTCCTCCTGACGAGAGATATTATCTTTCGTCCTGAACACGGACGTAACACTTGCTTTATCTTAACTTTTCGTGAGTCAGTTTTGCGTACGTGTCTGTCAATATCCAAAGCTATTAATGGATTGTTCGTTTCAATTAATGCGGATATGTTTTGCTTGTATGGTACCGGTAGCGGTATTATGTTTAATATTTCGTATAGTGGAAGTGAAATTAGCGGGAATTGTAGGATTGTATAGACGTTTGTTCTGTCACAGTGCGCGCTCATTTTCGTTACTTTTTCTATTGTAGGCCAATCCTCTTCCCTTATTTTAAATGGAAAATATAATCCTTGCGGTATTTGTGTGGTTGCTTTCTTAAGATTCTTCATTACTTCTTCTAACGGTATTAGTCGCGGGTGTAGTATTCCATTTTTTATCGAAATTAGATATTCTAGTGTCCTCCGCGTTTTATGTCACTGCGGCAAGTATTGCGTTGGTGATTATAAAGTGTTCTTTTATGTTTTCGCTACTTATTTCCGTTGTTAGTGCCATTTCTAACTTTTGATTGCGTTAGCTAAAATGTTTTCAGTATTTTGGATTATTTTCTCGTGATTATATGCGCTATCGTTGCGTTTATAATTTTGATTTGATTTTTTATTATATGCTCTGTTGTTTGTTATGTAAGATATTTAATTGTTCATTGATTAATTTTCTATCCTCATTGTCCATTGTTCCGAATAATGTTTTGGCAATACTTTCTATTCCATCTATTAGCCCTCGTTTCGTTTTTGTATCTTGTGTTTTATACAGAGAGTTTAATCTTTTTATTAAATGATTTTAACCGCTGGTAATTGTGTTCAATTATGGTATTATATAGGTGTATAAAAAGTTCTGAGCTTTTTTTTGTAAAATTCAATCTTTATTCAAAAACAAAAACTATTAATCAGTGAAATATTCCCCGTTTGCATCAACGACCTTTTACCATCTTTCGGGTAGTTTGCGAATTCCTTGATAGAAGCTCACCGGCTTCGAAGCGATAAAGTCATCAATGCATTTTCGTATCTCTTCAAATCTCACGAAATGTGTATCAGCCAAATGATGCTGCAGCGACCGGAATAGATAGTAATCGGAAGGCGCCATGTCTGGGCTATACGCCGCGTGCAGGAGAAGTTCCCAGCCTAACGCAAAGATATGATCCTGAGTCGCTTTCGCAACATGTGATCGAGCATTGTCATGAAGCAAGATCACTTTACGACATCCTTGGCCAGTAAATGGCCTCTTTTCTTCTAATGCATCGCTCAAATTGGTCAATTGTTGTTGGTAGTGGTCTGCCGTGATTGTTTCACCCAGTTGTAACAATTCGTAATACAATACACCTTTCCAATCCCACCAGATACAGAGCAAAACCTTCTTGGCGTGGATATTGGGCTTTGGCGTCGATGTCGAAGGTTGACTAGGGTCAACCCATGATTTTCTACGTTTAGGATTATCATAAAAAATTCACTTTTCATCGCCTATAATGATTTTGTGCAGAAAATCTTTTTTTCGGAACTTTGAAAGCAAAGTGAGTGCAGTGTCACGCCGACGATTTTTGTTGTCTTCGAACAATTCATGCGGAATCCATCTGCCTTCCTTCTGAACCTTTCCCATCGTACGGAAATGGTTTGCTGCGTAACGCCAAGCTGTTCTGCAAGCTTCTTTTAGTTTTTAGAGTTTATATCCAGCAGTGCTTGCAATTCGTCCGTTTCAATCTTTTGAAGGCGTCCAGCACGCAGTTCATCTTCAAGAAATCTCCTTGGCGAAATTTTTGATACCATCTTTTACATGTAGTATGACTTACAGTGTTCTCTCCATACGCAGCACAAATCATTGCAGTGGCTTCAGCAGCATTTTTCTTCAGATGAAACGCGAAGTGGATGGAAACTCGAATATGCTCTTTTGTTATTGCCATCGTGAACACTACTGATTTTTGAAGTTATGTGCATCAAACGCCAAACCGTATGGCATTTTAGAAGGCCAAATGTCAATGCTTTAAAACCGCAAAAGGGCGGGAAGATATATAAAATTTAAATTGTTATTTCGGTTGTATGAAATCTAAAGCTCAGAACTTTTTTGTACACCTAATAGTTATGGCATGACCCTTTGTTTTTAAATTGTAACATAGTGCATATGTTTTGCGCTTTTAGAATGTATTCTTCTATTTGCTCTGCTTGTTTTTCGATTGGTGAGATATCTATTTTTATATCTATTTTCCAGAATGACTCGATTATGTTTAGTTTTCCTATTTCCTCGAAGTATATTCTGGGGTGTTTGAAGCTCTCTACTTCAAATGGTAGTTTTTCTTCTCCTTCTCCATTGATTATCCATATCTGTATTCTGCAATGTTAAAATAAAAATTCTTATTTCTCATGAAGAGTTTGCGGTGCTCGAATTCAGTGTTTCTTTTTTATCATATTCTCAGGCGTAATGTTACTTTATTCTTATTTCGTTATCTTAGTTAAAAAGATTCTCGTGTGAATCTGTTGAGCTTGCTTTTTATAAAGTTTATCATTTCTCTTGGTGTCCTATTTATTACATCGGTGTTAGATATTCCGTATGACCCTTCTAATATTTCATTCTTTTGCGATGAGCCTACTGCCTGCATCTCAGTTGTCGAAACATCCTTCTCGTAACACCATGAGCTCTCGGGAAAATTTTAAGCGCGATGCGTCGCCGCCAGTGCTCGATGATAATTCCGCCGCGGCGGAAGCATCGTCTGATGACGAAGGCTTCGACATTGAAATAGACAATACTGAAGTAAACGAGTTTATGGATAGTCCTGCCGCTCAGGTGCACTTCCGTCGCATGCGAGAGTGGCTATCCATCGTGAATCGGTTTTATAGTAACGGTGTGTTTCACGTTACGTTTCACGTTTGTGAGGACTGCATTTGGTTTGCTGGCAATGATGCTCCTGGTAGAGTCATCAAATTGCCATGGTCGGTGGAACTGTACAAGTCCATTGCTTGTGTCCATGCCTGAGACCGTTTTGGCTGGCGTGGAAGTGAATTCGGGAGATAACCTGGATGATCCGTTGGAAGATTTTCCAGCCGATGATGTGGACGAGGTCGATGTGGGGGATGACCCAGCGGTCAATCCCGCAGAGGCGAGGGGCCGCTCTCCTGGGGCCTAGTCATGACTCGTGTGTAGTGTAGTGTAGTTTATAGTATACTTATTTACTAGTGTAGTTGTTAGTTTGTAGTGATTTTTTGTAGTGTAACTTTGGATTATTGGTGATTGGATTATTCTCCGGACATGCTGGGATTCTTCTTCGGTAAGTCCCAATGTTTTTATTTTTATTTTTCTATATTTTTATTTTGTATTATGTGCTTTTATCTTATCTCTTTTTAATTTTCGACGAACGGTTTAATTCGGTTCGCGTGCACGTTTATCGTTCGGCGGCCCATTTTTATTTTATAATTTAGATCGCCTATTTTTTCTAAAATTGTATAGGGTCCGATCCATAACGCGTCTAGTTTTTTCGATCTCCCTCACCGAACTGTTTCATCATGTAATAGGACTTTATCTCCTTTCGAATGTACGTATTTTTGTTTTTCTGTCGTAGATTTCCTTCGCTTTTTGTTCTTCCTCTTTTACGTTTTCTTTCGCTATCTGATTCGCAACTCGTATTCTTTCACGGAGTTCTTGCGCATAATCATCGTATGTGTACGATGGTTTCGGTGAGCTAGTTAGGGTCGTAAGTAGTGATGCCTGGTGCCCGTAGACCAGTTCGAACGGCGTGAAACCCATAGCGGTGTGCGGTGTCGTATTATATGCGAACATCGCATACATCCATTCGTCCCAATCTGTCTGATCATTATTAATATAATGTCATAAATATTCGGTTAATGTCCGATGTGATCTTTCGAGTGCTCCGTTTGTTTCTGGATGATAGGTTCGTTTGCAATTTTTGTATTTTTAATAATTTGCACGTATTTTTAAATAATTCGCTGGTAAAGTTTGTTCCTTGGTCGGTCAGGATTTTGTCTGGAATTCCATATTCTAGAATGAATTTTGTCACTAATTCTTTTGCTATTGTTGTTGCCTCTTGATTTTGTACTGGTATTCCTTTGCTAAATTTTGTTAAATTATTTTGAAATGTTAATATATATTTGTTTCCCATCGTCGTTACAGGCAATGGTCCTACGATATCTAACGCGCATTTCTCAAATGGTTTTGTTGGCGTATCTGTTATCATTAACAGTGCTTTAGCGCGTCGTTGCAATTTATTTTTCTGACAATGTTCACATTTTGAGATGTATTGCTCAACATCTCGTTTTAATCCTGGCCAGTTGTGGTGTAATCGTATTCTATTTATTGTTCGTTCAACGCCCTGGTGTCCTCCTATAGGTGCGTTGTGGTATTCGTATAATATTTGTTTCTTTTTTTCTTCTTCATATTGCTTTTCTGACGCGACGTCAGTTTGTTGCTCTTCTGTTATTGCTGCCACGTTACGGCTTAATGCGTCAGCATTAGCGTTTGCTTTCCCAGCTTTATGTATTATTTCGTAATCGAATTCTTCCAATTTTAATCTCCATCTGATTAAACGTAATTCGGGTCTGTTACGTTAAAGGTCGATCTGTTACGTTAAATAACCATATTAACAGTTTATGGTCGGTAATTATTTTAAATTTTGTCCCGTATAAATAAGGTCTGAAATGTTTTACTGCTCATACTATTGCGAGTAATTTCTTTTCAGTCATTATAATTCTGTTCTGCTCGTGATAGTATACGGCTGGCATACGCGACGGATTGGTTTTGACCTACCTCGCCTTGCGATAAGACGGCTCCTATTGCATAGTCCGATGCATCTGTGGTTAGGAGGAATTCTCTCGAAGTCGGGATATTTTAATATCGGTGCCGTCGTTAATTTATTTTTTAGCATGTCAAATGCATTTTGCTGTGTTTCGGTCCACTCAAATTTCTCTCCTTTTTTGTGAGTTTTGTTAATGGTTTTGCTATTCGTGAGAAATTTTCGATAAATTTTCGATAGTATTCGGCTAATCCGATGAATGATTGCATATCTTTTACCTTTTGGGCATAGGAAAATTTTTTACGGCGTGCAATTTTGATGGATCTGGCGAAATTCCATTTTCTGTAATTATATGTCCTAAATAACTACTTCTTTTCATAAGAATTCGCACTTGTCCGGTTGGAGTTTTAGATTATTCTCTCTTAATCTTTGAAGGACTAATTTTAATTTTTATTATGTTCTATAAGGCTAGGACCGTATATTACAAGATACACTAGTCGTCAAGATACACTACACAGATATTTAATTCCTTGCAAACTCGTTAAAATTGAATTCATTAGTCGTTGGAAAGTTGCAGGTGTGTTTTTTAAACCAAATGGCATTCTATTAAATTCATAATGACCGTGTGGTGTAGAGAATGCCATTTTATTTTTATCTCGCTCCGTCATATCTGATGGTAACCTGATGCAAGATCCAGTGTTGTGAAGTATTTCGCGTTGCCCAGCTGATCAAGTATATCCGTTATGTTGGGCAACGGGAATGAATCTCCGATTGTGAGATCATTTAATTTTCTGAAATCTACTACAATTCGTAATTTTGTTTTTCCTGGCGTGTCTATCTTTTCGGGCACGACTAATAGTGGTGCGTTCCATTAGCTGACGCTCGGTCTGATAATTTCTTGTTTCAACATTTCTTGAATTTGTTTATTTACCTCGTCTTTATGTTTTTCCGGTAAACAATAAAGTCGTATGTTTATTGGTGATGAATCTGTTCGTACTGATATGTCATGCTTAATTTTTGTTGTGCACGTTAATGTATCTCCTAGGTGGAACACGTCATTATATTCGTGACATAATTTTAATACAGATTTTCGTTCTTCCTCATTTAAATGTTCTGTGCGCAAGGAATTGTTTATTTACTCTTCTCGAGATATTAATTTTGTATCTTTATTTTTTTATCTGCATTGCGTTCACAGATTCCTGTGTTATTTTTTCTTATATGTTTATTTCTTCTAATATTACTTGCGGTACCTGAACGATTTTTTCTTCTTCCACAATATTTATTATACTGATTGGACATGTATAATTTCGCGGTTCGACTAGGCAACATCCAATAAAAATTCCAATATCATTTCCTCTAGTTTCGTCAATCCAATTATGTTTTGGTTAGTCGTGACTTGCACGATTGTTTCGCTGCACGGCCCTAAAGTTACGCGCCTGTATGGGTAAAGTTTGAATTTCATATTTTTAAATTGTACTGAATTTGTTTTTGGATTGAACGCAGTTATGTATTTTCAAATGAACTCTGCTCCTAGGGTCGCATCGTATTTCATTGGCGCGTTATCTCGCACTATGTATACGGGGTGTCATATCTTTTTTCGCGACAGTTGAATCGTAACATGTGTTTTGCCCAATGTTATTATTTCATGTCCTGTTATGCCTGTTAGCTTAGTTTTTTCCTCATAGATTAGGACGTGTAGTACATGTTTCACATCTAGTACATATTTTAGTTTTATTATTGTTGTTGATGCGCCCGTATCAAACAAGAAGTTTATTTTTCTATCTTTGGCTTCTGCAATCGGTAATATGATCGCATTTAATCCAGTGTTGACGAACGATGTCCCCTTGACGTGTGCCACGCGATACTTTGACGCGGGGCGCGAGACGGTTTATCTTCGCCGGTTTCGCTCTTTTTATTTTTAAAGTTCTTTGCGGGATTTTCTCTTCGCGAATTCGAAAAAATTTTTCCGGAATTTTTGCTGTTTTCTGATTTTCCGTTCAGTGTCCAACATTCGTGCCGCAAATGTCCTATCTTTTTACAATAGCTACACTGTTTTTCAATTGTATTTATTCGTGATTGTCCTTCTGGCTTAGGCAGGGTATATCTATTTGAGAAACGGCTAGTCCTACAATCGCGCCCGTAACGACCGATTTTTCCGCATTTCTCGCAACGCGGACTCGGCGGATGCGAGATTTTAACTATTGGCCGGTTTCGATAAGTTTGTGTTCGAGTGCTAAGTTCTCGCGTTTTTTCTTCTGCGGTTGCTTCTGCGATCGCTTCCTGTATCGTTTGATATCGCTGCGATCGTACAATCATTCAATTTAATTTTTTCATGTAAACCGTTCTGGTAATTGTAGAGCGCCTGCTTTTTTATATTTTCTAAAATCGCGCGTTGCTGTTCGACCGTGATTTTTTCTTTCTTCCATGGATTCGTATAATTCCATGGCTATATTGTCTGTTCGTCTGCCGCATTCTTGTGCATTCTCGTTTTTTGTTTAAGCGAGTTAAATTCGAGTAAATGTGTGGTTAACTTCGTTTGCTTAAATATTCCTTTTCTAGTTCTCGTTTAACTGTTCGAAGTTTATTATATCTCGCGTACGGAAATCCATCATGGCCTTGCCTTTGAATTTAGTGTAAAGAGTGGCTTCTAATAGAGAATGTTCATTCGCGGGATGTATATTTTTTCGCATACGTACTTGCATTTAAAAATTCATACACGCGTTCTCGTCGTGCCGTCGATCTCTGGGACTCATGTTACGCGCGTCAATGTGAGGAATATCAGTGCATTTCCCGGCTGGTTTCGTATATCTTGATACGAACGTCCGTAAGTTAGATCTAGCTGGTGCGGCAGAAAATCCTGAGATATTCTCGTTCGCCCATAGGCAATTGTGTTTGTCGGTTTAATTCGTTGACTTGCACACGGAGATCGCGTATTTCATCCATTAATTCTCAAAGAAGACTGTTATCGGGCGGTGCGTCGATTGTGACGCGGCGGTTCGTTCGACTTTCTTGCGGTCCATGTCTCTCGACCGAATGTCGTAGTTGCAAAATTTCGTTGTCGATTTTGTTCTGTTGTTCGACAGGTGAGTGAGCCATTTCGTTTATTAGCGATTGGTATATGTTGAAAGAATTAAATATGCTTCCATCTCGTAAGTTCGTATGTATGCGCGCTTGTATGTATGTGTCAGTGGGAGAGTCGGTGTCGTTCAGTTCGAGCAAGCTATAATCCTTCTCGGCGTACGGGAATTCGCGTTCGATTATTACGTGGACGTCTTCGTCACTATCGTATCATAATATACGGTGCACGTTATCGCGTATTTCTTTAGCGCGTTTCTCGCGGTATTTAATGCGGAGATAATGTGCGGAAATTTTACGGGGTTGTTTGGTTGGCCGCGATTTTGGCCAAGTTGCATTCGCTAAGTTATCCTTCGCTGCGGACATTCGCTTTACAAAATATGATTTTCTCTGACTTACATTAGAAGACAGATCGAATACGCTCGCATGATCGCTGTTTGTGTTGGCGTGTCAGTTGGTTGCATGTAGTAGTGCGTGTCGGTGAAGCGTCCTTGCTGCCTGGTATCGTTGTACACGGTCAGTGCTGGCTGGCTCTCGGTGCTCATGGACTCTCTGGTCGTTGCTCCGCTGCCACTCGTTGTCATAAGTCGGCACTATTAATGTTGCACTATACACTTGACACAATTTCGTGGGCGGCTTATTTTTTGACGGGGCCTTTTCCGTCCGCCTGTTTTCTATAGGTCTTGTATTTTCGGCTTATCGGGAATTTGATTCTTCTGCCTGCTTGTAATCTATTACTGCAGGTCTTATCTTGTTTTTTTTCAAGAAAAATTTTTCTTCTGCTCGTAATACAATGCGTCGGGGCTTACTCGTTTGATTCTGCTGGCTTGATTAACGATGATCCTCTCAAGTTGTTGTTCTTAGGGATGGTTTTGACAATCCCACCGCTGCCACCAAAATGTTGTACCCCGGATGGTCTACAACGTTATTAGGGATAGTCGGGTTCGTTAAGCCTAAGGAGTTGGGACTCCGAGCAGGATCAAAAGAAGGGATCTTCTTGAATTCATTTATACACACTTTCTTTATTTTAATTTATTCTCACAAGTGCACAGATGCTTGATATATTAACGATTATATTTTACACACAGTTAAACGTCGTCGGGTGACTCGGTGCGTATCGCGTTACTTTGGCGGCCGACGACCGAATTTGTCACCTGAGATGCTGATAGTACGGCTCGTGGGAACGCTACGAGATTCGGTAATATCTCGTGCGATTATTATAAGTCCGATTCCGGACGACACGTAGTATTTGACTCTCTCCACTCTGTCTTGTATGATTGATATAGACTGCCCGGTCGATGCCCGATCAGCATTCTGATCGGTTGCATCAATTGATCGCGTGATATTGATTGCTCAATATCACGCCTGGTTCGATCAGCAAATTGAGGAATTTGCTGATAGACTTTTCGCAATATTCTCGCGCGATGCATTTCTGCGGTCTTTCGAAAGACTGATCGCAATTTTGGCGATCACGCATTTGTGTCGTCTTTCGAAAGACTTTTTCCGAATTTCATGCGGACTAATTTTGTTGCCATGCGGACTACTTTTATTATTAGTTGTAGATCTGACTACAACACTATGTATATGGAATAAATGTGATAATGCTTACATCATAGTACTGCCATGTTTGTCTATCATTACCAGATGTATTATTATGATCCTTAATCTTCTTGTATATCCGTTTTAAGGCTATTAATTTTGATGCACATTGTTTTGCAGAAAACATATAGCTATTTTCAGCAAGTCATTGAGATATTTTTTCAAAAATATTCTTTTGCTTCAGTTTGCCACTTACAATTGCTGGTTCATAATCCATATTGTATAAACATTTGAGTACTGTTCTTAGCCCATGAACCTAAAAGCAGAATTTTTATATGGAATATTACAAAAAAATACATATAATAATTAAAAAATATACTTCATACCGCCATCAAGACTCTCGCATTCTTCCAAAATCATTTCGAAACTTTTGTTTTCTTTTGATGTATGCCGGCAATTTTTGCATTTTCCAAAATTCTACGTGCGACTTCTGGTTCTGTTGAAATATTAAATTTATCAATATTTAATCAATATTTAATATATATATTTATGATTAAATATATATATAAAATACACACATTTGAGGTTAGGTTAGGTTTATATCCAATAAGCACAAAATAACAAAAAAAAATCGTAAAGAATTTCAAAAAGCTTATTATGTAACAAGAGTAGAGTAAGAATTTGATTATTCTTTGAGAATACACTATTTAATAATATTAATTAGAATTAGAAGTTCTTGAAGAATTCTTAAAACAATTCTTTATCCTAGCTGATGTAATTCATATATTACCATTTCTGGCCTTTAGAAATTCTTCTGAAGATAGAAGCACCGTGTATTTATTATTAGTATCATCTATAATTTCGTATGGTATTAATCGATGTGCATCATCTATAATTCTTAACAAGTTTGATTTATTTTTTAATACAAAATCAAAAATACATCCATACCTTGCGAAGGTCCGAAACCGACTTACTACTTTTACTGTATGTACTTCACCTCTTGGGATAAAGTAAAAACAACCGGAAGTCAGCAATCCCCTAGGGTTAATTTACGCAGAATGGATAATAATTTTCAGTAACTGACAGCACAAAAATTCTATTTCGGAACGAAACACAGCTACAGTGTCGCCTTTGTACGTTGTTGGAAAGCACCCATGTTATGATGATGACGCGAATATAAAAGCACGCTTTTCTGCCGGCCTCAGTCACGATCCAAACCGGCGGTGTGGATTGCGTTGCATTCAGCCATATGGTCAACTCACGGATACACGTGCTTTTCTTTGTGGTGTGCCAATTACATTTTCTCAAATAAAATGCCGGCGGGAAACGAGGATGATGTGAAGCTGTTCCAGTCAATCGGTTTGAGTGAGCAGAAGGCCAAGGAAACCTTAAAAAATGCGAACGTTACGAAGAATCTCAAACTGGCAATAAACGAGGTTGGTGTAGACTAACCGGTGAAATCGATGATTTCCTTAAAAATTCGTAAAGATTGTTAGGTGCCGAATTTTGTTCTCAAAACTAATAAATTACAGTATAATAAGATATATAATTGGAATATATATATATATATATATATATATATATATATATATCCAATGTTACATCATCTCAAAATTGTTGTTTTGTTTTGCAATTGCATCATACATTCAACACATTTATATAATTATTTCTTTAAGTTTGTCAAGATGTACATTAGTAAGATTTATTTATTTATTTATGTATATTTAAAATTTTTAATTCAATTTTTGTAGGCAGTTAAACATGGCTCTATTACTCAAGATACTGGTGTCTTGCTATATCATTTGGCTTCCAAAATTAAAAATCAGATTGCAGACAAAATATCATTTATTACTAATTACATAGTTGAAAAGAAGCTAGATAATATACAGAGGTTAGATGTTGCATTGATTTATCTGTTGGCCAATGTGAATGATGATTTGGATATAACAAAATTTGAAGAATCCTGTGGTATAGGGATAATAATTTCACCTGAACAGATAGAAGAGGAAGTGGAGAAGATAATAAAGGCACATAAAGATGAGATATTAGAGAAGAGGTAAATAAAATTGTTTTAATTTTTAAGATTTTCAAAACTAATAATTTAAATATGGAAAGAAATGTTATTTTATAATAACTACAATTTATATTATATCACACAAATAGGTATCGCTTTAATTCTGGTCCGTTAATGCAACAAGTACGCAATGTTTTAAAATGGGCAGATGGTAAAGCAATAAAGAATGAATTTGATATCCAACTTCTTGATTTACTGGGTCCAAAAGTTGAATCTGATCTTGCCTCAGTGCCTAAACAAGCAAAGCAATCAAAAGACAAACAGATGAAAACAAAGAAGACTGAAATTACAAAAGATGGTGAGTTATATTGTTTATAAAAAATATTTTATATATTATATATATATATATGTATATAATATATATATTTTATATATAAATAATATATATATAATACATATATATATTTTATATATATATATATATTTGTGTTCAATGAAACGTTGCTAAATTTTTAGAACAAAAAGAAATGTCAAATAATGAAAAAGTAGGAGTGCAAACCATAAGTGAACTCATGAAGACTAAAGTTAATTTTCACAAACCTGGGGAAAATTATAAAACCGATGGCTATATTGTGACACCATATACACATCATTTACTACAAAAACATTTGGAAGCTACTGGAGGCAAAGTGATAACAAGATTCCCACCGGAACCCAATGGGATTTTGCATATTGGACATGCAAAGGCTATCAACATCAACTTTGGGTATGCATTTCCTTGATTTTGAAAGCTGAATGTATCATTAAAAGGATTACTTTTGCAGATATGCTACTGCTTACGATGGCATATGCTATTTGCGATATGATGATACAAATCCAGAAAAGGAAGAGGAAAAATTCTTTGTTGGTATACAAGAAATGGTGGAATGGCTCGGTTACAAACCAGCTGCTATTACACACTCGTCAGATTATTTCCAACAGTTATATGACTGGGCCATAGAACTTATAAAAAAAGATTTAGCCTATGTTTGTCATCAATCTAGTGAGGAAATGAAAGGTTTTAATCCTCCTCTGAGTCCTTGGCGCGACAGGCCAATTGAGGAAAGCTTGCAATTGTTTAATGTAATGTGAACAAATTTTTATTCAAAACACATTCTCGCTTCCAGTTATTTTAAATATATTTATTTTACTATTTGAAAAATAGGATATGAAAGATGGTTTATTAGAGGAAGGTGAAGCGACTTTACGCTTGAAAGTGACTTTAGAAGAAGGCAAGCAAGATCCTGTTGCATACAGGATAAAATACTCGCCACATCACCGAACCAGTGACAAATGGTGCATCTATCCTACTTATGATTACACCCATTGCTTGTGTGATAGTATCGAAAATATCACTCATTCCCTCTGCACAAAAGAATTTCAATCACGAAGATCATCCTATTATTGGCTTTGCAACTCCTTGAACATTTATTGTCCTGTACAATGGGAATATGGCCGATTGAACGTCAATTATACAGTAGTTTCCAAAAGGAAAATTGCTAAATTAATACAAGAAGGAATAGTGTCCGATTGGGATGATCCTAGGTATACATAACAGATAATATTATCTTTATGTTTTATTAATGATGTTTTACTAATGTATTATTACAGATTATTTACATTAACGGCGCTACGTAGACGTGGATTTCCGCCAGAAGCTATAAACAATTTTTGTGCTCAAATGGGTGTAACTGGTGCACAAGCGACTGTTGATCCGGCAGCTTTAGAAGCAGCTGTTAGGGATATTCTAAATTTCACTGCTCCTCGACATATGGTGGTTCTAGAACCTATTAAATTAACTATTAGAAATTTCTCTCACGAGAAAGCCATAAAGCTTAACGTCTCAGATTTTCCTAATGAGCCCGAAAAGAAACATCATGAAATTACATTTGATGAAATTGTATATATTGAAGCTATGGACTTCAAAGAAGTACGGAATATACATTTTTGCCTTTTTCACTCAAGATCTTTTGTATTCAGTAGTTTTACTTGTATATCGATATTTGTAGATTGAAGAAAAAGATTTTAGACGTTTGACACCAAAACAACCTGTAGGTTTGAAACATGCAGGCGTTGTAATAACATTTGAGAATATCGAGAAAGATGCCAGTGGTAACATTACGAACATCGTTGTTAGACAAGATCCTGTTTCAAAAAAAAATAAACCAAAAGCATTTATACACTGGGTATCCAACCCATCATTAGCATCTGTCAGGCTATATGAGCGTTTGTGAGTAATACTTTCCTAATAATCAATTAAGAGAATTTTACATTTGTGTGGAGTAATTAAAGTTTTCAATTTCTCAGATTCAAACATAAAAATCCAGAAGACACAAACGAAGTACCGAATGGATTTTTGAGCGATATTAATCCATCCAGTAAAAAGGAGATCGTTGCTTATATGGATGGTAGTCTAGCTAAAACAGCGGAAGTAAACGATAAATTTCAATTTGAACGTATAGGCTTTTTCTCTGTTGATCTTGACACCAAACCTGGCAAGGTAAATGATAAAAATATCAACAAATGTATACATTGTATTAACATTCCTTTTTATTTTAGCTTGTCTTTAATCGTACTGTAACATTGAAAGAAGATGCAGGAAAGGTGTAAATATATTTTTCGAGTTAATTATATCGCCAAAAAATATATTACTACTATTTTTAATATACTTTTTTATGCCGAGACAAAGTGCATGCTTCATTATGCAACAAACAATTTTATTTCAAAGATTTATTATTTTTTTATGAAAAACTTTAAGACAATACATAAAGTATTTATATGTAATTATCTTAAAGCTTCAAGCGATTAAACATGGTTTATATTTTTATAAGATATATCTTTTTTCATTATATTATGCTTTTATATATTTCATATAACGTGTTTAATTAAATTAAACTTTGCATGCATCTTTGTGATAATTTTATTGAATAATGAATAAATTTATTAAAAGAGTCAATGTCATTTCCTGTCTATTAATTCATCATACAGGATTCGTAGGTGGGAACCATGTATTTAATATTTATGAAAGCATCCTCACCGCCATATCTTTCCAAAATTTCGAGAGTTTCTTGTATAATATCCGCTGTGTTCTCACCTCTTTGCTGAGAATAATCGATACCTTCTCCAAGATTTACTAAAGTCCAAAAGATTTTAATTTTATTTTAATTGCATATATTTTATTTGCATTGCATTTTAATTGCTTCAAAGATAAATACTTACCATTCTTGTCTTTGAGTAAATTTGGGATAGGCAAGATTTGCCTGAAATACGGGACTAGAGCTTCACCAACGCAATCGGCTGATCGCACTAAACGTTGAAGTGCTTTCATGGTAGTACAGATTATCTCAGGCATTCTTGTATTCAACGCATCTAACAAAGTCTTTAGATTAACATGAATGTTTTTTCTTACAATAAATTGTAAGACTTACTTTTGATAGGAATAATCAATTGAGGAACAACGGGCAATATCTTTGAGCCACCATGTTCTAGCATGTCCGATATTCCTTCTTCTACCAGAAATTTATATGGTTGTTCTGTTTCCGTTAATCCATCGAAGAACATTGGCAAATAATGATGGAAATCCAAGTCCTCTATATTCACTTTCCAATTAATTTTCTGATTGTACCCATCATTCTCCAAAGAAATGGGGAATACACCGCGTTTATAAAACTTTCTAAAAGTCGAAGGTTTCGGTGGACGAGGTTGATACAATCTACATTGTGGAGGTTTTGCAACGACTGTGTTTTCCTATCAAGACAAGTACTATATTATCATTCCATTATCATTTATCGTAACATTGTCGTTCTATTAATGCATTACCTGCAAAGCTTGAATAGTGAACGCAGGAACTACTCGCGGCTTCCTCTTTTTATATCGCGGTATATCTTTCCGAACTTCTGTCCAGAATTCTTTTTCACTTACCATCCCGATGTTCGGATTTTTGTCAATATCAAATTCACACAAATTACACGTTAAACATTCTATTCGAGTATAGTAAGAAATTATATTATGCAGAAGTATAGGTACGTGTAGGAAACGAATTTAGGTCAAACAATCCTGTTTCTTAGCAACAAAATTTCTATTGACATGCGTATCAAATATTAACAAAGAGAGAAAAAAGAAGTTATTTTATAAAAGTATATAATTATATGATCGTAAGAATTAACAATATCATGATTGTATAATGAAAAAATATACAAACGGTACTATCCAGAATGTAGTTTTGTTTGGATACCGATATATATATCAGTATTCGTATCTATATTTCTCCTATCACTTCATAGTTATTTCTTCATAGCGTACAACGATAGATATCAGGAACATTATATCATAGATCAAAGAACAAGATCATTAGAAGTTTTTGACATGTAACAATTCTTATTTAGAAATATAGATGAGTTTTTTAATTCATCGATTAATAAATCGCATTATGCGCAAATTCAACTTTGCTCTATAAAAATAGCATTTGCACATTATGCGATTAATTAATCGATGAATTAAAAAACTTATATTATTACTATTATTACGAAATACTCTAACGTTTTTAATATTTTATAATTATAAAAAAATATATAATAGTATATATGTAATACATATTAAAATTTATACATATTTTAAATACATATATACATATCAAAAACCCGATTCAGACTAAGATTGATCACTATTCGTTATAAAGAATTACAAAGTGAAAAAGACAATATTGTGACTATCGAGACATGTCAATGCTAAGCCTAAAATTACAAATAGATAGTATACACAGCAAATGTGTCATAGTCATTAAACATAAAAAATATTTTCTTAAGGCGATATTTGTAATGTTAGACGCGGTCGTACTCGTTGAAGTCGTCTTCCGGAACGAAGTGGCTTATGGTATTGTGGATTGTCAAAAAGAAGTTCCCTTTTAGATGGTTCATCTTTATCTGCCGTATTTTATTATTAAGGAAAATAATATGATATTAAGTATGCAGTTATGTCATTTCTTTCTCCTAAAAAATATAATATTTAACTTTTCATACGTAAATGTAATATAAAAAGGATATTTATGAAGTAGCTTGAAAATTCCTGTGCCTAATGGAACTGGAATACCCATTATGATTGATTCTGATACGCCGCATATAATATCTTTTTGTCCATAATAAGCCGCATCAAATAGATGATCCGCCGTTTTTTCAAACTATAACAAATTGGTAAATAATAAATAACAAATTGGTTTGTGAGAAGCACTTCTAATTCTTTTTAAAGAAATTTAAAAGTTAAAAAAAAATAAAAATAATTCCATATTATATTTAAAAAAATTAACAAAATAATGAAGAATGGAAAATCTCACCGATGCTAAATTTAAGACAGATTCTTTCATCTTTGCTAAACCTTGTCTTGTTATACCAAGAACTTCTCCTCTACTAGTCATCAAATCTGCCAAGAGCATTAAATGTCGACGATCAATATTGATTCCATGATTTTCCATTACCGATTTAATTTCTGACATGATAGTTGTTCTCGCTGCTTCTATCCCGAGTGTTTTAAAAACCTAAAATGAATCATAAATAAGTATTTCCATATTCATATATTTTTTCAATTTACCTCTATCGTATTATTCGATTTTGTTTTCTCGCCAAGGATGCCAGGTGTTGCCATAACTTCTCTAAAATTATCTCCTTCAACAAATAACGTAAATTTCGTTTTACCACCAAGATTTTCATTATGTACAATCACTCTGTTGATTGATGACAAGCCCTACAAAATACAAACACACCTATCAGATATTTTTCATATTATAAAAATTTACATTTTATAAAAATTATATAGTGTATTATATAGTTTTACCTTCACTATGATATTTGGAAGAGCTTCCGTCAATTGACGAAATGGAAAATTCGAATTATCTTTCTGTCGGTTTGGTCGAATAATAATTATTGAATCGCCTACTATCTCTAGATTCTTTGATGTTAATTTCAATTTTGAAGTACAGAGACTATAGAATTATAAATCACATTTGTTAGTATTGCTTGAAGGTATTAAAAAAGAATTTTAAAGTATATCAAAACTATT